GATACCTGTCCCTGCTTCCCCTCCCATTTCCTTCTTGCCCCTTTAGTTTCACCAGCAGGTCTCTACTCAGCCATGCTGGTCTCTTGCCTTCCTTGCCTGATTTCTTACTCCTTGGGATCGAGAGCTCTTGCACTCTATGGAGAGTGTCCTTAAAGATCATAGAGTCATAGAATGGTTTGGGTTGCAAGGGACCTTTAAGGGCCCAGTTTCACGGTCCCACTTCTTTAGTTTGTCCCTCTGGATGTCATCCCGATCTGCGAGTTTAAAGCTCTGTCAATGAGCCCCACAAGCTCCTGACCAAAGATCCTCTACCCTCTTTGAGAAAGGTGAACCCTATCTGATGCCAGCACACCTGGTGCCATGCGGGCCATCCCATTATCGAAAAATCCAAAATTGTGGTGGTGACACTAGCCATGCAGCCATGTGTTAATAGACTGAGTGTGTCTGTTCCTTCCATTGTTGCTGCCCACAACTGGAAGAAGAGAGGAGAAAATAACCTGTGCTCCCAATTCCCTCACCAACCCCAAGGCCTTGAAGTCTTTCTGATCACCCTCAGATTATGCATTGTGGCTTCATCGCCACCCACATGGAAAAGCAGTGAGGGGTAGTAGTCTGAGGGCCATATCAAGCTAGCTTGGAGGTGTCCTTAACCTGGGTCCCAGGGAGGCAGCAGACTTCCCTAAGAGGAGGGTCTGCTGGGCGTATTGGACCCTCTGTTCCCCTCAGAAGGGAGTCGCCTACCACTATAACCCATCTTTTCTTTCTTGCGGAGGTGGTCGTGATATTGGGGCCTTTCTGGCCTTGGCAACACCTCTGGCGTAGGTGGACTCTCAGCCACATCCACATCATCTGTTGATTTACCTGATCTTTTGTGCTATATGTGACAGGTCAATTTTTTGGAACTGTTTAAAGGCAGCGTTAAAACAATGGTATTGTAATGGTCAGTCTCTCTGATCTGTTCAGTCATCTTATTGGTAGTAATTTGAGTGAACAAAGTTGGGAATTTGTATTCCTAATAGTCCTGGTTAGAAGACTATTGTTAAGTATGTTTTATAAACGTTAAGTAAATTAAAACTTTAAATTTTTGGAAATGAGAAGTGATTTCAGACTCCCTAAAATCACAAACCATGAGTTTATCTTGCACATTTTAGTCACTTTACATTCCCAGCACAATAACGGAATAAAAAAATTCAGCCATGCATCATAGTTTGGTTTTTGTTGTTTTGTTTTTGTTCTAGTTTCTTTGCAGCTTCCTTCATTTTTATTGTTCAGATCTACTTCACTGGAGATCCACAGTGACTTTGTGTATGGAAATATGTTAGGAGATCTTGTGTCTGATAGTCATGATATATAGAAGGTAGTGATAATTTTTGTTTTGTATTTAAAACAGTAGAAGACTCCACACTTATTGTGGGGGAACTGCTACAAACTGAAAGTTTTTTTGAGTTCCTTAAAATCCATGTGAGATGTTATCACTGTTTCCTTATACATATCTGCCAATACTTTCCTAATTCTTAGTAGTCATAGGAACCATCCTAAAAGTGGGGCAACTTGCTTTCCTCCCTGTGAGTTTGACTCTCTTCAGTTTTAACTTTCATTTTTAACCAGAACAGTGCCTCCTAATTTTGGAGTGCCATAGCGTATCCTCTTTAATCTGAGAATTAGGGAAAAAAGCCCATGAATTTTAAGTAACTTTTTTTAGTTGCTGTTGTATCACATAGCTTTGAAATTTGTAGCTTCCTGACTATGCAAAACCAGGCAAACTAGGAAAATAATAATGAAAATTTTAGTAGTTTTGATCATCATACTCCAAACAAACTGCATATTAAAATGAGATTTTTTTTTTTTTTTTAGTCAGTAAAGGTCTACTGTTCTTATGCACATTGGCAGGTTGTATACTGTGCTGTGTTTCATGTTTTAAATTGACTGAAATGTGATGTTTTGTGGAGAATTTACGCGAATGTGTGGTCATTTCCGTTAGGTGGTCAGGACCGAGAACTTCTCCAAAGGAAAAAAGAGAAATACAGGCAAGAACTGATAGAACAGATGGCTGAGCAACAGCGAAATAAGAAACGGTAATGGAAAGTTACTATATTTTTAAGAGGTAATGGCTAAAATTTAAAGGAATTCTGTGAATTCAATGTGATAAGAGTAATTTTCATAACTAAGGAATTCCAGCTAGGTAGATAATACTGTATCCAATTAAACTTGTTGGCATGAGGTCTTAATTTTTAGTACAGAAATTCACTGGCTTGCAATGGAACAAAGTTAAAACCAGACTTTTTTCATTTTAAAAAATGATTTTTAGTTTCTTAAGGGTAAAGAAGCTCTAACTGAAGTTTTTTTTTCTGGTAGAGAGGTATCTAATTACTTTGCAAAATTTAAAATGAATCTTGTTTTGCCCTCTGATTTAGGAAAGTAACCTTTCACTTTGAAAGCACTTGACTTTACTGTGTACAGTTCTGGGCTCCCCAGTTCAAGGCAGGCAAGGAACTACTGGAGAGAGTCCAGCGGAGGGCTACAAAGATGATGAGAGAACTGAAGCATCGTTCTTATCAGGAAAGGCTGGGAGAGCTGGGTCTGTTTAGCCTGGAGAAGAGAAGACTAAAAGGGGATCTTGTCAATGCTTATAAATATCTAAAGGGCAGGTGTCAAGAGAATGGGGCTAGACTTTTTTCAGTGATGCCCAGCAACAGGCACGAACTGGAACACAGGAAATTCCATCTGAAGATGAGGAAAAATTTCTCTACTTTGAGGGTGCCAGAGCACTGGGACAGGCTGCCCAGAGAGGTTGTGGAGTCTCCTTCTCTGGAGATACTCAAAACTCACCTGGACTCTTTCCTGTGCAACCTGCTCTATATGTACCTGCTTTAGCAGTGGGTTTGGACTAGGTGATCTCCAGAGGTCTCTTCCAGCCCCTACCATTCTGTGATTCTGTGACCATCTGGCTTATACAGAATAATAAAATACAAATTTCTTGCTTACCTAATAGTAGCTGCCTACTGAATGATAGTATGGATACGTAAAAACACACAGTGATATTAGTGAAGGGATCAGGAATTAAAAATAGGTTACTATTGATGGTTTCACTGTGATGAAAAATTGTACATGCTGAACAAGCCTGAGCCCTGAAATTACAATATAATACTTATTGCTTTAGTTTTGAATCATTCATTTCAATATGTTTATTACAAGCTTGCTGTAACGTGAATAAAGATCAATTTGTAAGAAATGTCCTGAAAAGCTGTAGTAAAAAGCAGTGTGGTGTTTTGTCCTTTTACAGTAGTTGAATTTTTATTAGGAGACATAGATGATAGCCAGATACTTCTTGAGAGTCTGTTTATTTACAAATAATACACAGTATCCTTCTTCCCTGACGCTAGAAGAAATCAAGTGGAATCATGTCCTCTTTTATCCTGTGTTTTCAGAGTTATTTTAACTACAGCATTGTGAGGTCTGTGCTTTGAAAGAATGAATGTAGTTGTCACTTTTCTGATTTGATCCTTTTTTTTTTTTCTTTTTTGAAACAAAAACAGTGAGAAGGAACTTGAGCTCTCAGTTGCTGCTACTGGAGCTCGAGACCCAGAGAAGATGGTAAGGAACTTGGATTTTCTTTCACATATGTAGACTTTTTTTAATTACATATACACTGGGGTTGCTCAGTCACAAAACTCTGTAGGGCTTTTATAGAATGATAAATGTTGTGTTTTTTCCTAGTAGGGCATTAGTACAGAATAAAATATAAGCCAAGGATGATAAGGCTGTAACTCATTACACATGCTTTCAGCTTAAGAGGAAAATATTTTCATGGAAGTTACTGAACATTTTATTTTGCTATGACCAAGTGGAGATTTTGTAAAAGCAGTGGGTGTCCTGGAAAAAATACTTAGTGTCCAGTGGCAGCCTGTAACCTTTCTTTGGGAACGTAAAGTATGCTGCAGAAAGTTTTTTTTCTCTTTTTCAATTAAAAAAAAATCCAGTTGTTTTGCAGCAGAGTTGATCTCATTGTAGCAATTTTTAATTTCAGATTTTTAATTCTTTTTTAAGCTATTCAGTGTATAGTTCAGCATTATTAGCATTTTTATAGGATTTTGTAAAAAGCAGTATGTTAATGCCGAGTTACTACTTTCTCCAGTTCCTTACTAAGGTGACTATTGTAGTAGGAATTTTTATTAGCATATATTGTCAGCACTAGTAACGTTAGTGGCAGACTGGTTGTCACAGAACTAGTATGATTTGTGTGTGTGTTTGCTAAGTGCCCAAAGCCACTGCTTCTTGGATGCAGTAGAGATCTGTTGTTGGAGATGTAGGATGGGTAACTTCCTCAAGCAATAATAAACTGCCAATTAATTTGACTCGTTACCAGTTTAAATTATCAATGGTGCTACTTTTTGGGGGAGGCTACAACACAGAAAGGAACTTGTGCCGTTTCTGGAGAGTTCAGCAGAGGTGAAAGGAGCTTTTATTTTATAGAAAATGAAAATTAATGAATAGCTGTAAGGTGCTATTAGTCAGCATGTGAGGCAGGAGACTAAGAATGCACATAGATAAGCAATGAAGCTGAATCAAAATTCTTACTCCTAAATGAGGAGGGAGAACACTGGCAAGTGATCTGGCTGCATGTTCCTGCCGTCTCTGCTTCAAGAATCTTGTTTGATCCCTTTTGCAAACTGAGTCAGCTTGGTTAGCTGGCAAAAACCGGAGTCTTTTTTGCTGCTTGAGCAGGTGTAGAGAGGTCAGTTGGCTAATCAGGGATTCAGGTGGTGAAAGGGAGAGGGATGGAGTGTGTAGCTGGGAGCCAGGCAGGAAAAGAGGGAAAACAGAGCAGAGGGTGCCAGCTCTTCTGGCCCAGCAGGCTGTAAGGCCAGGGTAGAGAGTTGTCTCATCAGAGCTGACTAGGCAGGAGCATGCTGTGCTGAAGCACTCTATATACCATATGCAACTCAGACTGAGAAGTGCCTGTTGGAGGAACAAAATTATATCCAGAGCAAGTCCAGGGCATAGATAATGTTTTAAACCCATTAACTGAGCTGAAAGCCCTCAATTAAGTAGAATTGCTACATTCATTAAGCATCAGTCACTGTTAGCTTTAAATTGCCTTGTGGGGGGAGACTCTAATTATGTGGTTTTCTTGATTAATTACAGATTGGTTAAATAGCAATGCCTGATTAAGAATCTATAGATGTAGACTGTTGTGCATACTGCTTGTTTAAAAGAAAACAATCCCCAGGATCAACTGAGTACCATAGTCACATCTGAAATTAGCTACAGAGCTGAAATCTGGGGCACTTTGGGAGCACTTCACATTAAACTTGGTAGTGAGAAAGGCTGTTTTGAAGGTTCTCCTGCTCAAGACACTGGATTTGAAAAGACAAGTTAAAAAAAAAGCCTGTAGACTGCTTTATAGTTTTCAATTGCTGTAGCTCATATCTATTATCTAATTTTGTATTTGTATCTAGAAATTTGAAGTGCTATAAACGAATGCTCATGTCTAGTAGATATTGACAATTTTAATGCTGTAGTTCGTGATTGGTGAGTACTAACTGCCTTGTATATACTGTCTTGCAGCTAAGTGAGGAGGAGGTAAACATTTAATATTTTGCTGAAATACTTCTATATTGTAGGGTATATGGTTTGCTGTTAGATATTTAATATTTAGTTGGTTGCTGGTATTACTTTGTTTGAATGCATGTTAACTGAAGTGCTACAATGTTAGGACCAGTAAATTCAGAAACAAAATCTGTTTTACTTATACTATGTATAAATTTTTTCTGGTCTTCTATTATATTGACTCATTTAAACAAACATTAAAATATTTATGCACAGCAGCTGGTGTAAGGGCTTTCTGGGTGTGATAGGATAGTTCTGAAACTAACTGACTTGCATGCCTTTACATTATTTGCATGTTACCTTTGACTTTCTTCTGAGACTGCTAGTTATCAATAAACATTTGATACTTTTATTTTAAAAAGAAAACCCACAAAATTTTGTAATTGTTCTGGCTGAAAAAAAATTAATAAAATCAAAGGAACTTAAAAACAAAATAATGATATTGCAAGGAAATGTTTATTGGAAAAAGTCTCAGTACGTGTTTGTTTTTAGTTTTTACTGCTTATGACCTATTTTAATCTTGGGGCAGGAGGGAGGGATTTCAGAAACTTTTCCTCTGCATAATATGAGAATACTGTCTGTAGGGAACTGGCACCTGTAGATAACCTCTACTGCCAACAACTGTGGGAATACTTATTTTTTCTGGACAATAATTAGAGCCATATACTTCCTGAAACCATCCATAAAGGTTGGTTTTTGTTAAATCTGTGGTAAACGTGCTAGATTTCCTTGCAATATTAGATTTCCAGTAATTCCTTGGGAGAAAAAAAAAATGCAGTTACTAGAAATTTGAACAGCTAGTTGGGACCCAGTGAAGCATTTAATGCAACCTAAATGGAGGTTCAGAATATTTCCTAGTAATAACAAGATAACTTGTTTTTGTTTTTTCTCTTTTTCTTTTTCTTTTTTTTTTCTCCCCTTTAGCCAAATAGATTGAAGCAATTTGGCTTGACAGTGAGAGCTTCTGAAGAGAAAGTACCTCCTGAAAGGCCTAGGGTGGCTTTCCAAACTCCGGTGCCCATCCCCTCAGCCTCTCCAGTGAATGAAGACTTTCACAGGGGGCTGGCGAGCACCCTTGGTGAAATAGCAGCTCCCAGGTACTTCACCATCATGTTCTTTTTGCATACTAAATAAGATTATTTTTAAGCATGTTATTACTCAAGTAGAGCTCAGTGGTGCTATCAATCCTTCTCCAAGGAACTAATGAAGGTAGAAATAATATTTCATCAATTAACAGAAAACTAAACTACTTTGCACTGAAATAAACTTTTAATGTCTGTTTTTTCACAGTTTATTTTGAAAAATCTGGGGAGGCTGTATTATCTGTGAAGACAGCTCTCTCTCAGTGGATATTTGTGTAGAATAAGGGGTGTGCTGTAGAAATAATGTCCGTGCCTGTAATACTGAACCATGTTGCAAGGATGCTTGGGCACATGCCCAGCAGTGTCCCCGTTGTTAGAGGGCTGGTATGGCATGAGTTTGGCCCCCATCAATGAAGCCATCTCCCAGGGCTAAGCTCAGGAATGCAGCGTAGGCAAGGACAGCTTCCACCAGATGCTGTGATTGAGACTAAAATGTTCAGGGAGAGAGAAGGAGCTTCAGGCATGTGGCTGAAGCTGTGCTATGCCACTTGCCCTTTGACCAGAGACTAATCCTTGACTTGTTTTATTTACTGTTACTGATGTAACTGGTAAGTATCATTAACTGAACCAGTTAAAGCAGGCATGCTTATTTTATGTTCTTTAGATCTCTGGAATAGTGTGGGATCATGTACTGCTCCCTAAGGGAAAATTAATTCCCTGCTGAGTCTTACTGTATCTTGTTCCTGCACTGTGCTAATTAATGAGAGGTCTTGGGCTGAGCTAAATCCAGAATTTTCTCATAGTGAATTCTCTCTCTCTTTTTTCCTTTCTTTCTTCTTTTGATGATACCTTTTCAGTTGTACAGCAAACAAAAAATTGTGTTCCTTTTTTCTTTTAAGGCTTGCACCGATGCCGCCACCGCCTCCACCACCAGTTTTGACAGACAACTACAGAACGCCTTATGATGATGCATATTACTTTTACGGGGTTAGGAATCCTTTGGATCCCAATCTTGCATATTGTGAGTTGATCATTTTAGGTGGATTGGTTGTTAAAGTGATTCAGATGACTGGTTTTGATCTAGTTAAATGGTGAATAATGTAGAACTAGTAACAGCAACATAAACCCATTTCTTAGGTGCTTATTGATTGGAAAGATGGCTTTTTTCAATACTGGTTTTGAATGAAGTAGTTTTCTCCAACTGCAAAAGGGGCTATGGCTTCCAGAAATCTTGTTCATCGCTTGATCAAGCTTTACTCTCAGCTGTTTAGCCATTACTTCTCCCAGACTGTTTTCTTTATAGCTTTGATAATAAAAAAAAGATTTCTAAAATTGCTTAAATCATATTATAATTTATTATGTTTAGGTGTTATGATTTCAGATATAATTTTAAGTATTTTTAAAAGAACTATGAAGTAATCAAACTTTTTATTTTAAGGACTCCTTTTTTTTCCTACCCTTTGCTTCATGATAATTTAATTAATGAAATAACTGTGATGTGTGTGGAGACTGAATTGTGTGGTGTTTCTTTTTTTCCTTTTTTCCTTTTTTAGAGGAAAAAGCAGAAATACTTTTAAAAAGCTGTTGTGCTAGTTAATAGAAAAGTTAAAATAAAGAGGAAAAGAACCTTATAATAATAACAACTCTTTTACTGGTTGATTTGAATGAAATTTGTATCCACTGGGGAATTTCAGGAATGCTAGAGATTTAAGAGGAAAAAGGTTTTAGATTTTTTTTTTTTTTTAGATTTTTTTTTTATTGCAAATTTCTCCCTTGAGAGAAATGTAATAGCTCTCCCTTGTCTTGAAATGTAATAGCTTATGGTTTGAGAAGGATTTTGTTTGGTTCCTTGGTTGGTTTTGGCTTGGTTGGTTGGTTGGGGTTTTTTTTAAGTTCCAGGTACCTTTTTTACCTTTTCTTTGTAATCTTATTCTCAGACCACAGTTTTAAACTCACAGAAGTTTTTTTTTGGGGGGGGCGGAGTGTTTTGTTTGGTGTGGTTTCTTTTTTTTGTGTTGTATTTTGGTGTTCTGTTATTTGTTTGTTTTTTTATTATCAATATAACCTCTACAGTAAAATGGCTTACAGTTTAGAGTATTAAAGAAACTGATAATTAAAATTCACATATGAGAGTTAAGTTTCTTAAAGCTTGTTGTCACAAACTGGAATATTGCTAGTGCTTAAAATTTGACAGTGTGAAATTGTTTTAGAGATGCATCTCTTACTGTCTTGAACACAAGCAGTAGTATGCACAGTAAATTTCAAGCCCTGCTGTGGCAGAGTGCTTGCAATAACTGTTTCAGTAAGAGTACAGACACCAAATGTACTGCATTTCTGCAGGAGGCAGTGAGGCTCATCTCACAATAGAGGACACATTTGGAAAGCATGAAGAGAAATGTTACATTAAATGAGTTATTTCTGTATGTTAGTTCATTGTAGAATATGTTAATGAAGACATTTGTAAATTTTAAAAGGATTTAGTTGAATTTAAGAAATAGATTTGTACCTTTGCATTGTGTTTCTTGCTTTAGAGAGCATTAAGAATTAGTCAAATTTGTTATAGAAGTTGAAAGTCTTGTTTGTAATTCTGCAGTCACAGAGTTGGAGCAGTGAGCTCTGTTCTTTCAAGTAACAGCAGATGTTTATATCTGAGCATTCAAAATTTAAAATAGTTTTTGATTTTGGTTTTTTTTTTTACTGTGTAGATGGTACAGGTATGATGGGAATGCAACCCACTCCGAATCTGGATCCTCCTTTAGGCCAAGCCCCAGCAGAGCACTCTGTGTAAGTACTGTCCGTATTCATAGTCTTTGTTTGGATTTATCTATATTAATACACTTTTCAGGTTGGGAGTATTTTGCTGACAACAGATACACCTTTGAAATAAAATGTGTTAAAAGACAACTCTTTAAACTTCTACTTAAGAATTTCTATCTAAACAATAATTCAGTGAGCTCCTATTTTTATATGGATTTCTGAAAATATTTGATATTATAAACTGCGAAGCTGTGGAAAACAACAGCTCCTAAATATTTCAGGCAAGGTTGTTTTTTTTTAAAAAAAATTTTTAATTCCCACCCCCCTGGACCCCGTGACGTTTTCCTTTTATATGTGTGGTTTTCTAATTCAGAAGTAACATGGGACAGAGGAATACAGGAGACAGACAAAGAAGCATAGGAGTATTTTCTGAAGAAAAACCAAAGCCTTCCAAAGAGGCAACTTTATCTTATCAACAAGAATTACAACAGCAGGTACTGAGAGATAAATCTTCTGACATTTTCTTCTTTTACTTTTTAACATATAATGGTTGTAACTGTAGTACTTTTTCAAACATATTTATTCAGTTTACAAGTAAAAAAGCTTTGTTAACATTCCCTCCCTTCCTCACTTCCTCCCATTCCTCCAACCCTGCTTTAGCTCATTTTGGCTCTTCAGGTGCACAGTAAGCTCTTCAGTTTTTTTGTTGGAGGCAGAGAGAATGTCAAGACTGACAGCAGATTAGTTCCAGGCATGGGGTTTTATATAATTATTTTCATAAACCTAAGAACCTGCATCTTAAAAGCAATGAGTTGTATTGCTCTGATATTCCTATTGAAAGATTGTTTTTGAGCATTATTGCTATAATTATTAGGAACACTACAATTTCAATATGTTCTTCATGATCATTTGGATACCAATTCAAAAGCTTCTCTAATGTTTGCTTCCAGTGTGTTTGTAGGTGGTGTCTTATCTCTTTTCAGCTTCCTTTTTGATAGATTAGATGATTTTTGAGTCTCCTGTCTTCCACTAGACATCCTAGTCGCCTTCTCATTTTAGTGGCCTTTGGCTGCTGCACCTTGTGGAAGTTCATATTTGTAAAGTGTTTTAAAAGCTTTGAATAGAAGATGGACTTTTTTAACAGATATTCTCTTTATAAATGCTACATTAAGTTAATAGGAGACTTAGTTATATAAATTTAACCTGATTTTGGAGAAAAGGAAGAGCAAACTGTGTGAACAGTCCTGCGTTATTTGCATACCCCATCATGTATTACTGCAGAAAGCTACTTCATGAGTGATTATAGAATTGTGTGGCTTTCTATTAAGGCATTTATTGTTAGGAGTCTTTCTTTATCTCATGTCATCTATAGTCTAAGATTTGGTTAAACAAAACATACCAGGTTGAGAGAAGCAAGTGCTGTAGTATTGTAGAATTTTTCCTGTTTAATTTTCAGGCAGTATAAACTTCTATATCAAAGATCCACAGACATGGGACTTTTGATCTACTGCAAGTGTCAAGATGTGAACATTTCTGGAACTTGGAAGTCTTATAATTGTGTATCTGTATGTTTCTCTGTGATTATGCACATCTGTATTCAATGTACTGCCTGCATTATAAATGTTTGTGATTTGCTTCATATAGATGGAGGGAGTGGGTAATGATAGCTTTCAGCTTGCTCCATTAACTTTTTATTAAAATTACTCTTTATGTGATATTTTTATGCAACTGCCTTTTGTTTGTTTTTTAGATACGAGAAAGAGAGGAACGACGGAGACAAGAGAAAGAAGAGAAGGAACGCTATGAAGCCAAGTTAGAAGCAGAAATGAGGAATTACAACCCCTGGGGAAAAGGTGGTGGCGGTGCTCCTCTCAGGGATGCAAAAGGAAATCTGATAAGTATGTTTGCCAAAATTATGGGTTGTCTTTTCAAGATTGATGTTTTCTTGCTCTTGTAAGGGTTCTATTCAGGTATGTTATTCCTTGTTTTGTAACACTGGTAGCCCTTTATTGACAAATAGATGTACTTGTTTCAAGCAGATGAACTCTAGGAATATGTAAGTGAGAAATTATTTTGATTTCTGTAGAATCATTTGAAGAGTACAATTTGAACAAAATGGGAAACACAGGATATGTCGACTATAAGTGAAGACACAATGCAATAGTAAAGGGAGAAGGAGGAAAACAAGCTGTTAGAATCATCTGCAATATAAATGTGCTTAAGTCTGTTGTGAAGACTTTTATTTAAACATTTTCCAGAAACAGATTTTTTAAATTGTTTTTCTTTTTTAAAATAACTTCTAGAAAGCTTTACTTATGACATGGAAAATGGAAACATGTTTGAGTAAATATATAAAGCTAAGTGGAATATTTAAAATTCCCCAAGTAACATTGCTGGTTAATGGCTATATAAATAGTAGATAGCAGTAATTTTAAGGTTGTTTTTTTTTCCAAGTGCTGTTTTATACAAGATGCGAGTAGTGAGCTGAGAGATAACTATAATCCCAGGAAGTTGTTCATCCACCCTACAGTAAAGCAGAGATAGATGCAAGATTAAAACTCAAATTCCTGATCCTGGTTCCTGGTGAACCCTACAGGAATATTTTATCTAAAATAAAACTAGTACTCAGTAGACAGAATTAGATTTGTGTATTTCTAAATCTTGGCCTGTGCTAGCTCTTTTCATTCTTGCCTTTAGCATCTCAGTGACTGAGCCTTACAATTTTATAACTATGTGAAACAAATTGATTTTCTTGTTATTGGAATATGATGTTGAATTCTGATTAGATTTTTAAAATATGTGTCCTGATAATAAAATATGAGGATTTTCAAAGCATGGAACACTTACTAGATAACAGTTTATACATAAATAATTAGTTTCAGTTTTATGACACCTGAGTGACATGTGGCTAAATTGATAATGTAGTTTGAGGGTAGGAGATAAAATTTAAATGCATTTTAAAGGTTGTGTGTCCAAATGATAAGTTTAGAAGCTTATATTGAGAATTTGAGCTTGTGTTTATCCCCAGAGCAGCTAGAGGTGTTCACACTGCCTAACTTTAGGCACTGCATTTTAAGCGTCTGGCTTCTTTCTCTAGGCTTTACAATGGTGTGAATAGAGTGAGTCAGAGGAATATGTAGGAGACTAATTAGCCTGAATTAGCCTGAGCTCTGCCTATACCTGCTGAGCAGCTTATCTCTGCCTGTAAATGAGGAACCAAGAGAAAGAAGTTTCTTAGCCTGTTTTCCTGAACTGCCCATATAAAGTTATTTTTCTCATCATAGTTTAGCAGCATGATGGATAAGCTATGAGTCAAATGTCATGAAACATAACATGCTGTTTTTGCCATGTGTCTTTTATGCAGTGTGACTTGTCTTTTTATCCTCTTGTAAATGTCTGTAAATAGCTTTTAAGACTCTGATGTATGCAAAGGCTTTTTTACAGAGAGGGATGTAATTTAAAGTTCTTGGAATCTGTGTGCTTAAATGACTACAATAATTCGTAATTATCCGAAGCACTATTTAAAAAGGTAATCTGAAAACTGTCTAGTACTTTTTTGTTTTGAAATTAGCCTTCTAGGTACGGTATAGTGAACACTTCAGAATAAGGTGTAGTTAACATCTTTGGTCATGATTTTTATGGTAACTGAGAGGCACCATGTAAATTTTGGTGAAAATGTTGGATGACATCGTTTTGCTTACGTACAGAAATTCGCCCTGGGATTGTTACTAAAGACCTGTACTTTAATAGTTCAATTGTGCTTATCACCATTAATAGTAATAAAATAGGGATTCAGTACTTAAAATGCCAATCAATACTAAACTCAAAAGTATTTTACAGCTTTGAGGAAATAGAAGGGGTGGTTTCTAAATGCATGCTTGTCAACACAGACTTGTCAGTCGTTTTTGTCTTTGAGCTCTTTATCTTTCCATTTCATAGCATTTTTGGACAGGGAAGAGGGGACGTTTGCTGTGAAGAATCATTCCTGCCAAAAGAAAACCAACAAAATAAATCTTCTAATCAGTGAATTGCTAGTGACTAGTGTTTCACCTATAGCTTCTATATTCTTGTCTTTGCTTAAAATTTTTGTTCCCTTAGTTGATATGCCCAGGGAAAGTGGAGTTTGCTCCAAAATCCCTATGTTTTTGAGAATCTATGGTGAATGTGCCTTTTATGAGAATAAAATATTATAAACAGTTATTTCCCCTTTCCTTTAGCGGACTTGAATATGATGCACAAGCGAAACGAAGATGCATATCATAATCCAGAGGCAAGACTATATGAAGATAAAAGGGCTATTGTATCTGTTGACCTAAGTTTGGCCTCCCCAAGACCTGAGAACACAGAAGCATCTACAAATAAAATAGCAGGTTTTTAAGAATACTGTAATACAGCTCTAATTATTTATAGGTCTTAGTGATCTCTAGTTTCTTTGCTCCTTTCTAGTAGTCCCACGATAGTGTTAGTGCTATTTACATGCGAAGTCAATATCATGCTTCTTTCCCAAACTTCTTCATTGCTGTCACTGTGTGCACTGAAAATGTATTTTCTTATCTATCTTATCAGTAATAGTAACTAATAACTGTTTTAGCACTGAGCAGTCAGGATCAGTATATTAGTTTTCCAGGTTCTATGTTATCTAATCAAATCTTCATACGTATTTTTTAACTTTTAAATGACACAGTAAAATACATCTGTGTAGTAGGGGAGAAGATGGAATAAAATGAGGAGGAGGATCTGCAGATATACGATGTTACAGGTTAAGATGAAATTGATACAGTAACTGGGTTAGCAAGTTCTAAAAAGTTATAGGCAAATTGGGTTCATATGTGGCCCTGTTCACTGCCTCCACGTTATAGGGATTTAATTTTATTTTCCTATTTAAAAACTGTTGCATCTTTCTCTTCTTATGTTTTGTGAGACATCGAAATGAGAGCTGTTGTACTCCAGACCTGTCCCTGCTGTGGGATGGGCAAAGGCCAGGATCAATGGTGGTATTCTGAAGTCAGCTTAGATGCTGCTTTTCTTTCTCCTGTCTGAACTGTTGCACTTTTGTGTAATGAATTATGTGGTATTTGGGGCATGGATCTACTTCCCAAGATTGCAATTCAGTGTCCTGACCACTGGCTGTAGAATCAGTTTTTTTGTTTCTTCTGTCCCCTCGTCTTGCTCTTTCTCCCTAATACAATGTAAATTTAAGCATTTAATGAGAAGTGAAACAGGCAAGGCCAATAAAGTAATCATAGAATCATAGAATGGTTTGGGTTGGAAAGGACCTTAAAGATCATCTAGTTCCAACCCCCCTGCCATCAGCAGGGACACCTTCCACTAGACCAGGTTGCTCAAAACCTCATCCAGCCTGGCTTTGAAAACTGACAGGGAGGGGGCATCCACAACTTCCTTGGGCAACCTGTTCCAGTGTCTGACCACCCTCACAGTGAAAAACTTCTTCCTAATATCTAATCTAAACCTACCCTCTTTCAGTTTAAAGCCATTTCCCCTTGTTCTGTCACTACCTGCCCTTGTAAATAGTCCCTCCCCAGCTTTCTTGTAGGCCCCCTTCAGGTACTGGAAGGCCGCTATAAGATCTCCCAGGAGCCTTCTCTTTTCCAGGCTGAACAGCCCCAACTCTCTCAGCCTGTCCTCATAGGAGAGGTGCTCCAGCCCTCGGATCATCCTGGTGGCGTCCTCTGGACTTGTTCTAACAGGTCCGTGTCTCTCTTGTGTTGGGGGCTCCAGAACTGGACACTACTCCAGGTGGGGTCTTATGAGAGCGAAGTAGAGAGGGAGAATCTTGACCTGCTGGACACGCTTCTCTTGATGCAGCCCAGGATACGGTTGGCCTTCTGGGCTGCAAGTGCACATTGTCTGCTCGTGTTCAGCTTCTCATCCACCGCCACCCCCAAGTCCTTCTCTTCAGAGCTGGTCTCATTCCATTCATCACCCAGTCTGTATTTATGTTATAGCAAAGAGCCCCCTGGTTAGATCACTTGCTTTGGGAGTGGAAGGTGATGCACATCAGTAATGTAAATTTATTGTCTCGCACTTTCCGTTTGATTAGTCAGGCAGCAAAGTGGCTGTGGGTAGGTTTTGGTGGTTTTATTAGTTTGATTTTGTTTTGTTTGTTTGTTTCTGTGGGGTTTTTTGTACACAACCCCATTAAAAGAGGAACTTGAAGGATAATAGCTAGTACATAGTAAGTTCATTCCTTGATGCCTTCCATAGTAACTTGTCTTGTGCCCATGCCTTTTAAATCATTTATAAACTTAATTCTGCTTTTTTGTATGGGATATATCCAGGTCAAGTAAATCCATCCTGAAAGAGCCACGTGTAATTTGGAAGGATTCAAACAGTGATTTCATTTAAGGAAAAACAGTACTAACCTCAGAGTTACTACTGCTTGGTTATGCAAGCACGTGCCCCTAGAGCTAGGCTGTAGCAGTAAGCAAGCGCATTCCTATAGGAATAAGCGTATGTGTTACTTCTACTTTCATCTGACTGAGGTGGTATGTCACCAGGTAGGGAAATGTAAGGGGGGAACATGAGAACAGCTACAGCTGTGTCCATCTCAGCTCAGTGGAGCTGTGGCTCTTGCACATCCTTGAGGCACTGTCCTTTGGAGCAGACATGATATGAATGAAGAATATCCTGTGTCAGCTGCAAAATTAACACAATTTACTTTACTTTTCCTTTACTTCCTTTCTCCTCTTCTTCCTGTAAGGATCCTGTTCTGCAAAACCTCTTCTGTGTGGTGTCTGAGTTAATCCAACTGTCTAGAGCTTTTGGGAGTGTATGATTATGACACATTCATAACTCAGGCCTAAAGGAGTCCTGGCACTTCCAATTTCATAGTATGGAACGCACCTTATACTGGCAGAATTTCATTTTCTGACTGCTTAGAATTTTATTTGCCCATTTTGGGCTTTGTGTTTTGTAGCATCTGTTGTTATTTTACCTAAGTATTTGTTCTGTTAGGGTGTCCTGCTTTTAAAGAGTGCATAAACCTAAGGAACAGAACTACATGTGATAAGTCAGGGTAATTACAAGCAGTAAAATTATGAGATACAAAATTATGAGATGTAAAATCTTTGCTATTGTATTCATTTACGGGTAACATTTTTTGATGCTAAACTGCATCAGATTGGACAGTAGAATATAGGATTATTGTAGGTGTTATTTTGTAAAAAGGCAAGTCGCGTGGACATTTTTAATTGAGCAGTTAAAACCTGACAGTGTTCTAGGCAGACAATATGAGAACTTTTAATCCCAGCTATTGTTTTCAGCTATAGCCTTGAATTATGGATGTTATAAATTACCTTTTGAAGTGTCTTAGATTCCTGCTTCTTCACTCTATCTTGCTGTTTTAAATTTGCTTTGATTTTTATCTGTAACTTTTCCCCCTCCTTAGGTTTTACATTTGCACAGACCTCTCCTTTTGCTCGAGGTAACGTGTTCGGTCAACCACCATCTCCACAGCAACTTAAGCGACAGGAGTCGTACAAGAACTTTCTTCGTCTGCAGGTGAATGTGCACAGCAGTTATTGTCTTGTTAAATAAATTTTAAAAAGAGGGATTAGAGTCAAAGTAAATCATGATACTGATGACCAAAGACCTTATCCACTCATAGCCAATTCTGTACACAATTCTGTACTAAGAGCTATGTGCTATTGAGTCTCTCAGATTTTGCATTACATAAGAAATGCCTATAAAAGTGGTGCTACTAATAGTTGGCTTCATTAATCTAGATTTTCTCTCTTTTTTTTCTTAAGTACAGTTCTCTAAAAACAGTGTTGAATTCTCAAACTGTGCATGCAGTACAAGTTTGCATATGTAAACATGTAAAGAAACAAAGATGTTTGCCCTTGGAAGTCTGTATGATACAAATGCATGTTCATCAGAATGAAATGGTGATCAGTGAGACAATAACAGTGTAGTTATTTATTGATGGGTGTATAAAACATAATTGTTCTTCTACCAGCTTCTGTCTTCTGTCCATAATACTTCACGTATCTTATGCCACAAGAATTAAATATCAAGGAATTAAATATAAATATCAAGGAAATCCTAGATAATTTAGAAGAGTATGAATGTCATACAGTAGTTTGATATGGATCTCTTAAAAAGAAAAGCTCAAGGCTTTTTTCCATGTCTAGTACTGCCAAAAAGAATGAAGAATGGACAGACCTTTGGCTTCAGTAAATCAACATTGTATCTAAAAAATATTATAATTGTGGAAAGGAAAAAGATAATTACTGTGTCTTTTCTGTTTTGGTTTCCCATCTTCCATTGTTTAATCAGGGAAGATAAGTGTTATTCCAGCACATCCAGACTAGAAAATGTGTTAGGAAATATTCAGGCTCTATTTATAGCATTTATAATTAGTGTTCTTACTGGCAGGTGGTTCAGTAAATAGTGGCCAAAGAGGAAGAGGAAAATATCATACAATCCATGCAATTGCATGAGTAGGTACTTCAAAAGTCCATAGAAGGTGGTAAATGTTGTTCATCAGATTATTGCTGGGTATTGACAGTTGGATACTCCTTTGCTTTATTTTCTAGATTGAAGAAAAGAGACGTAGGGAAGAAGCAGAGCGAGAAAAACTTAGAATGGAAGAAGAAAAAGAAGAAAAACGAATAGCTGAACAGAGGATGAGAATTCAAAAAGCATATGAAGATGAACAAGAAGAGAGAAGAAAGAAAGAGGAGAGGGTATAGTATTTTGATATCTTTACTTTTTTCCATCCTAAACTACCCCGTTGTGATATTTGTCCTCTAGATTAAGAAGGTAAACTGACAAGTGAATTGGTCGTTGTTTTTAAAAGGGTCTACAGTAGCCATAAGAGAGAGAGAAAATTGTATTAACTGGCACATTCTTCTCACTTTTTATGGTATGCTACTGCTTGCAGTATTGTTAATTCTTTTAAGAAAAATTGTGTATTATTTTATAATTGACAGTGGTGCTTTCCTTTTTAAAATATTTTTTTTGTGAGGACAATAAAAAGCTTTGTCAAATTGGGGAATTTAAAACCAGAACAAAGCTTTTTTTTTTTTTTTTTTAGCCTCTTAAATCTAACTCTCATGGAATTATTTGTATTTTGAATGTAGATAGCTATACAGGAAGATTTTGTAAAGCCTTTTTTTTTAATTGGCCAGGATGTATCTTTGAGATAAGAATACTACTTGTTTTGAAAGAATGCCAAGCAAATCTAATGAATACTTTTCATGGAGGTAAACTTGTGATTTAATTCAAACCCAAAAGCTTTATTTATTAGGTTTGGAAAACTGAATGAATTTGCATAATTCAGAATGTCATCAATAATTGTGGGAAAAGGACACAAGGCCATCAGAGATGGAAAAATCTTTCAGTGCCCTGCGGGATTGTGGAAGATCAGTTCAGGATGTAGATATTCAAGATTTTCAAGATAGAACACTTAGCTTATATTCCAGGTTCTCTTTTCTAGTATGAGCAAGTTAGTTGCAAATTGCCTTCTGGATAATAGAACTGGTCTGGGATAACGTAGAAGCTGACTGGTGTTGTCGCTTTTCACAGACAGAAGACTAAAATTGAGACTGAATGAAAATTTTCTCTGTGGGCATGTTTGCAGTATGTTTTGTTTGAATCTGAATTTTTGGAAATTACTCTTACAGTTTAGCCTTAACTGGGGATACAGGCTGGTGTTTATGGAAGTTATTAGAAATTCTGTTAAATAATGTTAGCAGAGCCATGACTGCAGATGTTTAATAGTTGCATGGCATAGTTTTAAATTTGAATGTTTGAAGTCAGCCTAATGAAATATGCTTTTCATTTCATACTCATCACTTTAATGTGTAATTTTAACTTCTCAAGGAAAAACAGAGTGAAACTAATAATATTGAGTCTTTTTAATGTACTAATAATGTTTATGTTACAGCGAAGACTGAAAAATAAAGAAATAATTCGATTAGATGAAGAGAGGAAAAAAGAGGCAGAAAAAAGAAGGAAAGAAAAAGAAGAAAAGCGAGAAGAACTTAGACAATATTTTGAGAAAGAAAAGACGGAAGACGAAAAGAGGATGGTATGCTTCAGTGACTTTCTAAGATACAAATACTTCTTCCTAACTTTTAAAAATAACTGAATTTTAAAATTGCATGATTTCCTAGACCTCTACCTTCCGTGTTGTTCCCCTCTTAGTTTATCAAGCTGTGGTACACTTAGCGCAGGCGTGGAGAACAGCTGATAGAAAAATCACACGTGCTACAATGGAAACTTGTCTCGCTGATCAAATTCACATTAAAAAAAATAAGAAAACCAAGATAAACAAGAGCAAGCTGCGCTCTATAGCTGATTTTTGTATCTGCTGTGAAATACCCTGGCCTGCTTTTGCTGAGGTCCAAATACAAATGGAATGATATAATTTAGAGGACTGGAGGACTGTTCATCTTTAGCAATGATGTTCTTTGTAATTTAATTATCTTCCTTTGACCTGGATGATGCAAGAAGTCCATCACATAGAATTCCGATGGACAAAATCTAAATAAATTTTAGAACTGTTTCTCTTCTAGAAATTTCTACATGTCATTCCTCTAAAATGGACAGAAAAAATGGAAGTGTCTAGAGGAAAAAAAGTTAAGTAACTTAACCATAAATTTAAAAAGCTACATCATAGAAAAAAAGTATTGAAATTACTATAGGTAGAAAATAAAATCACATGAAATAATTTTTTAATAATTTTATTTGGTTAAGAGTTGAAAGCAAATTAAGTACAAATATAATTCAATTAATTTTAATTGCTTCAATTAATAAGCAAAAGCATTTTTCTGTCAAATGGAAAATATTATCAAAATTCTTCCTGTCCAAAATAATACTTTATTCAGAGTCTATAGGAATGTAGTTTCAATCTTTTCTTCCTTGCAGTTTTCAAGGCAGCCTTCTCCTGTCATTTTTTTTCTTCAGAACAAATCGATAAGAAAAGAAGAAAGGATTCCTTCAGCTGAGAGCCATATATCTTACTATGCACAAGTATGATTTTTATAGTAAACTTTTACTAATTTATTTAAGACTGTACATTTTGAATCAACCAGGTTTTTAATATTTGACAATCATTATTGGAATACCACAAATAACTGGAGACAGTCTTTATATTAGCCAGTTTGTAGCTCTGAAATTTCATGTTCAATTTCATTTAAAGTATTCCAGAAATTTTTTTTAAGGATTATTTTAATTTTTTTTCTGCATGCTCATTTTCCGTAGAAATGGGCATCTCATTTTTGAGTGTACATACTCTGTTCAGACCCTTTACCAAGGGTCTAATGATCTCAAGGTTTAGAATAGGAAAGTTTACATCTAATCTAGCAACTCATTGTGTTCACTCAGAGAAGAACTTAGCTCAGGTGTGAAGTTAATGTTGATTCCTTGCTACAGACATTATTGGTTTATCTTTATGTTTTTGAAGGTATAAAAAAATCATAACTCCTAACACACTTCACTTTCTTCTTTGCATCACAGATGAGTTACAGTAGTGGTCCTGAGACCTCTCATTTCTTTAACTTGATTTCAACTTCCCTGGGACAATTTATTTTTTTTTTAATAAGTTTCTCCTGTGAAGAATAGATTAAATAATCACCTATGATATTTGAATCTCAGGCTACACTTATGACTCTTTATTGGAAATGTTTTTTTTTTTGCCAACTGTCTATATTAACTGGGCTAAAAATTTAAAAAATGAATTTGCCAGTAAAATTATAATTTGGCAAAATATAGTGCAGTTTCAGAAAATGTTTTAGGTAAGACTTTAAACCTTACTTAAAACTGTTGCTTTCCCTAAGAAAGTGACAAGAAGAATGCTAAGAATAATGTTAAGAATGCTCTGGAGGAAGGTCAGTTTATTTCTGTGTCTTTGCAGTACTTGGTATAGCTTTGTCTAGATCTCTCAATAGTGCATTGTAGATATTATCAGAGTAATTTGGATTATACATATAAAGATCAGATTTAAAAAAAGCTTGGGCATTAACAATCTGTAAAGTTACTACTCTGTCTTCCAGTAGTAGTGGTAGTTAATGTAGATTGGACATAAATCAAGGAAATAAAATGTACTTATATCTGCTATATTTTCTTCCTTTGACATATTAACATTTCAAACTAATTATGATCACTAGGATCCCCCTCAACCGAGGGTTCCGTCTCCACCTGTCCCTGCTAGAAGAAATCAGTTGCGTGCGCTTGGTGGGTATTGTCTTTATTGCAAGCTCACTTTCTGCTACAACAAAATTGTTCTTTCTTGCCTGCAAAGAAATAGTATTATAAAGTTTGCAATTCTGTGTGGGTGTTCTCTCTATTTTAGTATTATCAGTATATTAGTATGGTATGTCTGAAGTATTAATACAAAAATAAAGGGCACTTATTATGTGTCTTCATCACAAAATATTTTTTTCTAAAAACTCTAATAATGGAGTAGTCTGCACGAGAAGTGCTGGATCTTTCAGTCAGGACAGTGGTGACCATTGTGACCAGAGCATTGCAAAATGGGAGAGTTTTGGATTGGCTGAGTAATGGATTAGGCCAACAATGTGTAGAGCATTGCAGTCCTAACTCTTAAATTCTGCTCTATTTGTTGATCAGCCTAATCCTCTACTTGTTCTTCTTAGCTTTCACTGGTGGTTTTAAAATTCAGACATGCTGGGAGAATCTCCTTTGCTCTTTATATATTAGTTATCCTGGTAATATGTGGGTGGAAAGCAGTAATTTTTCTTCTGATTCTTTTTCACAAGTGTAAAAGAAACAAGACATGGAATGTAACAGTAAATGATGTCCTACAAATGCTGACCCCCAGCAGTCAGTACCTGGGTCCATTCTGGGGAGTTATGGCTCTTCCACTAAATGAAAGTGAAGTGGTTCTTAGTGCTGCTCTTGGAAATGGATTTCCTCAGACCATCTGTCATGAGAGAAATAGACATATGAATTAAATCTTGTGTTTGAGGATTTAAGGTAGTAAAAATTGCTTGGTTGCTGGGTTCTGGATTTAGACTAAAAGTCAGTAAAATATCAAATTATTAAGCATGTTATTTGGAAAATAAGGAATTTATGAAACTCTTTAACTTCTGGAGGAATGCTGTGCTGACCACAGAAAAAAGTTTAGACCCAAAGCTGGTCTAAAAAGTCAACATAAGCGCATACTAAAAATAAGCGTTGAAGTTAGAACTCTTGAACACTTAAGAATCTGCACTGAGCAGACAGATACCCCACTTTTGAGTCAGGAAACAGAAATGAGGCTGTGTGCTTGCTGACACCACCTCAGTTCCTGTCAGCTGCCTCTGGAACTCTGAGGACCGTAGATTTGCTAATTTCAAAATAAGGCTATTTAATGGCAGTGCCCACTTGCTGGTATTTCATAGCTTTTCCTTCTTTAAAGACAGTGAAACATTTCCTTTGGAGTCTGATTGCTTTCTGCTGTTCAGGGGATCTGGTCCTTGTGCTGTCTCAAAATACAAGCTCTGACCTAATTTCTAGTGTATGAAATGCTGTGATTCTTGTATTTGTGTAGTCCTTGTTTTAATTAACAGTTCATTATATCTTATTTTTTTCCACTTTACATTTATGAGGTAGACAGAAAAGTGTCTCTGACACTCTTTATTTTTAAATTATTTGTGTTAAATTCCAGAGGAAAGAAAGAATGTGATAAATGAATTATCAGAGATGAGGAAACAGCTTCGTAGCGAAGAGAGGCGACTGCAGGAACAATTGCTAAATGTGTCTGGTGATGATGATGTACCAATTACACGGTAAGAATTTAATCTTCAGTTTTAAAAGTTAGATTTTGCACAGGAACTCAAAGCTACTGTATATTAGTAGCTAGTATTAATTGGCTAATATACATGAGTGGAATGAAAATATAAAGATAGAACTTGTATATAAAACGATCTTCATTTTTTCTAACGTGTATGGGGGTTTTCCAAGATTCTTACTATAGCTTAGTGTATGAATGGCTGAACTGGTAAGATTGGAAATTGCATTACTCCATCTTGGAGAGTGGTCCAAAGCAGATGTCTAAGGCAGAATTTTGTCTTGTTACCTTTTTTCCTAGAGCATAATTTGTGCCTGTAAACTGCAGTACTACTGCTGATGAATGTGCTTATAAATGGCATACTGCTGTGGAAGTTCTTTCTTATTGAAAGTCGTACCCTTTTTATTTAAAAAACTTGATTTACTTCCACAATGTATTAGTTAATCATACCAATTAGTTGGAAAAGACTCATCAGATCATCAGTCTTTATTTCCACTCCATAAAGTGAGAGGGTTGGTTTTGATTTTAAGTAGTGTATCGCTTTTTATAACACAATATGCAGTGTCATTACTTTCAGATTTATTTTCCAAACCACCACAACAGCTTTATTTAAGAATAAAAGATAGGAACTTTATAGATTCAACTCATTAATATGACAGTGGTAAATTATATTCTGCTTGTTTTACAAACTTTACAAGTAGGAGGAGAGAGAAGAATCCAAAGGACATATTTGAGATGGCCAGGCTTCGTCTGCAGGCTCCAGTAAGACGACCTTCATCAAAGGAGGCACAAGATCCCGTCAATATACAGAATATCTGGGAATTTAATGAACTTAAATACAAAGGCAGGTAGTGAAACATTGGTTCTTCTCCTCAGTCTTCCATGCCACTCAGGATTTAGGGACAAAAATGAAAGTGAGGCTACTGTCCATACACAATATACACTGTGGACAGCATTTTGTGTGTGTCTGTCTCTCTCTGTGGCTGTTTCTACGAGTGCACACAATTCATGACATTGTAACAATGAGTTATCACTCAGAGTACTTCCCTAGCTTCTAGTCCTTGCTGCTTAAACTTCTTATGCATTTCATACTATAATGTTACTGAACATAGACTGAATTTGATTTTTTTACCCAACAACAAATTATGAATTGTGTAACTTGTGTACTTGCTGTTTCTCCGTCACCAGAAAGTATTTTTTTTTTAAATATAGTAAAATCATTGCTAAAGTGGCTCATCCTCTTGGCCACTGTCACCACTGTTTTTAATGTTTTTTGTGACTTTGTACCTGTAGCCTCATTCATTAATTTCTTTTTTTCAGAAATGTTGGTTTAGGGAGAAATTTAAGTTTCCTGTCTTTGCTCTAGATTCTGAAACGCGTATGGGCTTAAGGCACATGTATCCTGATCCTCCAAAAGATGACCAGACTCTAGAGATTCAACAGCAGGCACTGTTGAGGGAGCAGCAGAAGAAACTTGACAGAATGAGAATGAGGAGAGAAACAGATGGTAAGTAATGAACAGTCTGAGATAATTTCAGTGGTTTTTGTGTATTTGTTTTGTATTTGATAAGAATTAAAACCCACCACCTCTAGCTTGACATTTTTTTAAGTTCAATGTCAGCACTGCAGTACAGAACAGTAAAACGCCGGAACGCTGAAATTCTGTCATAGTGTAAAGCACAAAAACCTGAATGCCTTTTTCTTTTTTTTCCCTTTAGAAAAAAACCCACCAAAACACTATGACTGTTTTTCTTTGGTGACCTGAAAGTAATTTAGCTAGTGCTTCATACTTTAGAAAGTTCTCTTCTCACAGTGGCCGCCTCTGCCCCCCACGTGCCACAAACACTCAGGACAATTTCAGATTGCTGCTTAGACTTTTTTTAGCATTAGAGCCTTGGCATAAAAAACCCCAAAAACATATGAAAGGAAAATAGTTACACCTTTCCATACTGCTTTAGAAAAACTGAATGCTGCTTCTTACCACTGGTTGTGCTTTGAGGCTTGTTTGTGTTACCTGTTAACAGACCCATATGTGAGTAAGATTAACAAAATTGATACCAAGATGTGAAGGGTGACAGTTACTTGCAGGGTGTTTTGTTTGGTACCCTGGTGAGTGTTAGGGATGTTTTCCTTCTAATATGCTTTTTCTTGCTTGCTTTTTTTTCTCTTGATGTAAAAGAGAAATTTTTGGACTATTAGTGGAACTATAACCTGAGAAATTAATGATTTTTTTAAAATGTCCCAAACTTTTAAAATGCTTGCTGTGTCCCTATAAATAAGTCAGTCTTTTGCAGATGTCTGGACGATTAGTATTTTGGGGGATAGGAGAGAAAGGCACAGGAGCAGGTTTGATGTTGCATTGCAGTGCTGGGCTCTGCTTGACTGGAGTAGCACATTGGGAATGGGCTGGTTGTCTGTCCAGGAGGAGTGACAGCCTGTGGTTTTTGTGTGCTATGGTTTTTGATGCAAGACAGAAGGTCAGCTACACCCTGGATAAGTTTGCTAGACAGACATGCAAGAAATAAAATCTATCTTATTAAATATCTTATTTGAAAACTTAAACGAGGTAAGAAGAGTAACTTCAGTTTTGCTTCTTTGTATTTCCAGCATGCATGGGGTCATTGTTAGATTAATTTTCTGAATGGTTCTCTGTGCTCTCCAGAGCTGAGGTTTTTATCCTTAGGCAAGTACTTTCATCTGTGAAATGAGTGTGCTCAGCATGTTGAGCATACACTCACTCTTGGGGCTCTCTGCATTCTCCTGCTCTGATTGTTATACCCTGACAGAAGCCAAGATTTAATCTAACAGATTATTGTGACATGGCATCCTTCTTGCAAGTCAAACTGGTTATTGAGATGTCCCACCTAGGGGAGAACATCATTAGACTTGAGTTCTGTCAATATAAATACGATTGTTTTAGATATGCAAACGTGCCTATTCCTAGCAAGGAGATGTCTGGAATATAGAGTAGAAAAATTTTTTGAGTATCTGTGAGTTTTAACTGCACAACTGTTGTAATGTTTAGCTTTACTACATATAAAAGAGACTCCTGGCTCCCTTGGTCTAGCTCTTGATAGACTACTAAAAATAATGGCAAAAACCAAAGTTGGGACAGAAAATACACAGCACTGGTGATCACTAATTATGGAAGAAGGAATTCATTTTTGACTCTCTAATTTTTGAAGTTTGTTAGAGTATTGGTTTATTTTTCTACTTGGGTCATAGCAATTTTAAACAAAAATTGATCAATTACAGAGATTTCTCTCCATTATTTTTTTGTATCCTACCTGTGAAGCTCAGATGGAGTTTAAAGTGTGTAATTCTAAAGAAGTCATGCATAGTGGTCTTCATTTTTGTAATAATATGCTGCTAAAACTTTCAATATGTTTTATTATTAACTGTTTTTATGTCAATACTATTATCTTGTCCTTTCTGTATGTGGCTTTTTTGTTGCTCAAGATGATTCTGCTTCTGGTGGTAACGCACAAACCATGGGGCTGGTAAGGATAAAGCAAGTTTTTTATTATATTACTTTGCCTTCTTCAAGTGTGAGAAGTACCGTGTCTTTCACAGATTTGGAGAAAGGAATTGCACTTAAGTAACAAGACCACAAGTTTATTTACTTCTCTTGCTTGTCAGTACAATGAGTAACAGCTTCTTTAAACTTGACATACAAGTTGTTTATCTTTGTATGTAGAGATAGTTTGATTCTTTAACTCCCTTCTTGTTCTATTAATTGATATTTATTTTATATTCATATGATGTTTGCTTTGAAAAAGTTTGGCAATTAATTTACATTAATTATAATTTAGCCCCAGAAAGATATTGAGACATCTGAATTTGCATGTCTTCTGTTTCACTTTTGTAGTTCAGGAATGAATCTAATGAATTCTTGAAAAATTCACTGTTGGAATCAGATAGCACTTTTATTGGTGAGTTTATACCTCCCCTTAACTATGTTATGAGAATGCAAACATGTCATTTAATCTAACGATGTGTCTCTGAAATTATTATTAATGTTTCAAACATTGCAGTGAATGTAGCTGTGGTGATTGTTTTAAAGTATTCAAAAATTATGCCTCCAAATTAAAATGTAGATATTTCTGGATGTGTACTGCAAGAAATTCATGTAGGACACACCTAAAATTAATGATGCTCCTCACTTGCCTTATCCCACTTGACATGTTTTCATGAGAAAGCATCTTTCCATTCTCATTGTGCTCTGAGTGGGATGTTAGCCTTGTCATGGAGTGTTTTTTGACATCTTCCCAGTTTTGGATAAGGAAAAGCTAATATTTATTCAGTAAATGTGTTACAATGGTAGAATATGCAATCCTCTTCTATTGTTCTGCAGCAAATAACATAGTTTGTTGGCAATCACAGCTTACAATTACGAGCTTCCATAGTGAAATGTGAAAGTGTTGGGCAGACAGCGATTCTTTACCTTTTCAGTCTTTTGTTTTACAAGCATGCTCCATTTTAAGTATGATTGGATGGGTATAAAATAGTGATTTATTCTAAATTGCTCACTTTTCTGCTGTTCACACATTACTTCATTTCACATAATTTGCAACATCATACTTGTAAACATTGTTACATCTTAATCGTCTGAAGTAGATGATTTTTATGTCTCACAGTGTCTTATATCTCTTTTTTTCAGCCTTTCTATGCATGTATGTAAAAGTGCTGTTTCAGATGTGTTTTGTTTCCAGTCACTAGAAATAAGAAGGCTGGAACTTGTCTTTTTTAAGGAACACACCCAGCTCAGGCCTCTATGTATTATTTTCCATTAGTAGGCATTGCAGTACCTTCCAATTCTCTTCAGTCACCTGTGGGAAATCATCTTGCAAGGTTTTATTCTTTGCTGTATGGGTGCTGCAGAAGATTCCTTCAACTGCTTTTTAATGAAACTGGAGGTGTTTCTTGTATACTGATGATTGCTATCTCTGGCTTCGGTTAAAAGCAGAAGTTTTCATTTGAAATCTGTTCAAGCTTATTCTGTTAACATGCAAGTCCTGGAGGACAGGATAGAACCCGGCGCTGGGAGGGGCACAGGATGGGGCTTTCAGGCTGGCTCAGTGCATTTGGTACTCGCTGTAGTCTGCAGTACGGTCGTCTTCAGGTGATGAAATACTGTGATTAGTTACGTGATGAAGGGCTGCTCTGTGAGAGTCCATCAGTCTAGAACCCGGCCCAGTATCCCGGCTCTAACAGGAGCCGGGATAGGCACATGGGGAAGAACACAAGGAGGAGGGCAGGCACCCAGCAACGCTGTGGAGGACTCTTCCAGCCTCCAGTGACTTGTAGCTCAGAGGCTTCCTGAGTCAGTTGCTGTAGGTTTGCATTTCATAAGTCCTGCTAAGCTGGGTCTTTAATAGGTTGTCTTTCATGAATTGGAATCAGCATTTCCACACTATGCCTTCTGTGAACCTTCTCCTTTCATCTGCTCTGCGTGTGCCACCTGTGTAATGGGGTGCTTCCTGGTTTTATTCACCACTTTCACAAGGTTCATGATATTTATAGTCCTCTCTCCTATTTCCTCCTTCTCCACATCCAGCTGATTCTTGCAGCTTGGTAAGGTGATGGAGTTACCTTGTGATGCTATTCATCCCCCTATTTTTTTTTTCTTTTTCTTTTTCCCCAGATAATTTATGGCTGTGTTGAAAAACACGTTTCCAATACCGAGCTGTTGGCACTAACTAAAGCTTTCTTACTCTTTGCATTATTTGGGCTTTATAAATAGCTATTAAATTTCTGAATATGAACCTGGTGACTTCTATCCCTGAAATGAAAAATAAAAACTCTCATTATCTGTGGGCTGCCTTCTCTGTGAATTGTGCTGGTAACATTGTCTGAGGGTCTTTTGTGAAATAGTTGTGGTGTATTTTAACAATGTTTTTCGTTTCCTAAGAAGAGCGTTACATTACCCTCTAGGGAGTTTTTTTAACATGGGTTTAAAATTCAACTCAATTTTGTAATAGATGTCAGCATTACAAATGAATTTGTATTTATCCCCTATGGCTCAGAAATTTGAGGCAGTCAGGAATAAAGAGGTTTATCAATTTTCCCCTTTTTTAGCCTCTCTTGAAACCCTAGAATTCATTAGTGTTAATGCAGTGGTTTGAAAGCACGTCTACGTAGCAGTATCCAAATGATGAATGCAGTAGCATTTTAGTGATGAAACACTAGAGGTGCAAATAAATTCTTCTGTAGCTTTTACTTTTTGTTTCTGCTGTGATAAATTCACATGGCTAAATGATTTTTGTATTCTGAGTAATAGCACTGTTTTGAATATAATGAAGTTCAACTGATCTTGTAACTAAAATTCTGGTAAGTGGATTATTAGCCATATACTATTTCAAAATTATACTTTGATTTTTTTACTTCTAGGGAAAAATCAACTGGTAATATGAAAGAATTTTTAAAAAATATGTTTCTCTGAACTTCAAATGAATAAAATTTATTTTTCAAACCTAAGTATTTCAGTTTTAAACCAAAATAATTGTTGCTTTTAGAATTTTATTTGAAAATCTTTGAAACTCATGAATACGATAGAAAATATTTCATTAAAATTTATTTTCAAATTGCTAGGAAATGAAAACCTCATTCTTTCCACAGTTATGGTTTATTTTTCATGTCACAGTATGTCCCTTAGCAAACCAAATAATTCCAGACAAATGCTGCAGAATTGTTCAGTACTCTGTGTGTGTGTGTGTGTGTGTGTGTGTGTGTGTATGTATATTTACACACATTTATCTTTTTTTCTTTTTTTTTTCTTTTTTTAACCTAATGTTTCGTACTAGACTGAGAGCACTTCCAAAAGGTCACTTCATTGTCACGAAGAGTGATTGGTGGTGATGGATTCTGTGTTGGTTTTGTTAAGCAGAGACCTTTGTTTTTCTGGGAGGCTCAGTTCTTGAGGGTACTAGAGGGACCGAAGCAGGAAACAAAGCCCGCTGGCTGCACCAGGCCAGTGGCAAAGCCATAAACCAGCCCTTGAGCACTGGTTACTGGTCCCAGAGAGAAAAAAATATCTGTTTGAAACAGTTTGTGTTTGATATAGTTTCCAGAGTCAGCAAAGGAAGGGGGAATAGACAAAACAAGTGGAAAGCAGTGACATCACCTTAGAGTTAATTTATAATATAAAAATAGATTAAACTCCCCCCACTGTAATGTGATAGAAGTTTGATCAAAAATTTATTTAGTTATTTTATTTTTGTATGAACAGATTCTGACACTTTATTACGTGAAAAGACTAAGATATGACTAAGAATATGTGACTAAGGCATTGATTATGTTACCATATTCCGTGTAACATGATAATGCCACACAATGTTGTTATGTATTCCATTTAACATGTTTACATACATAATTTATGACATGATTTTGTATCTTTTTATGCCTCCAATTTGCCTAGTGTTCTCTCTTTCAAGCAGAGATACTATATTTATTTGAGAACTTGGTTTTTTTAAAGGTCTAGGTATAAACAAGGTACAGTGAAGAAAGGTAGGAGGTGGATTTGCAGGATGTGAAATGCCTCGTCCTCTAGATAAGAGGGATCTCAGTATATATCTCAAGATATTCCTTGCCTTTGCTGGAAGTTCAGGTCTTGCTGCTATTGTGGTACCTTGTTCTTTTGTCTGCATCTGGTTTGTCACTGGCTTCATGCAGGGTGTCCTCATAGAGTACCTTCCTTTGATTCCTGTGATTAAATCAAGTACAATATATTGGCTCATTTCAAAACATAAACAGGTTTGAACACTGTCTAGTATTTTGGTTTCTTTGCAAATGATTTCACCTCTTGTTTTTCACCTCTGTTTTTCCAGGTGCTAATGGGGAAACGTTTCCTGCCTTAGAAGAAGTTAATTTATCACCACAGCTTCCACCCTCTGCAAGGGAGAGGAGACGAATAAAGCAGAAAGCGTTGGAGTGTGCTGTACGTATAATAACCAGATGGGCTTAACTGTGAAGGTAGACCACAGATCTAATGCTCCCAGACAGTTCCTGTGGTTCCTTAGTGACTGGGTGATATGGATGCATGTATGTGTAAAGCTGTTTGCCTTCTTAAAAAGTGCCCTGCTTAACTGAAGGATTTGTGCATGTTTGGATTTTTGGCAGGAGGATGTTCCTTGGGGCCAGACGCCGCTGCTGCAGCCTGACAGCTTTTCTCCGCGCTCGAGCTTCAGCCTCGACGTTGATCAGCTGAAAGGCAAGAATGAGGAACGACTGCGCAGACTGACTGAGCTCCAGCAGAAATCTGCTTACTTGGGTATGCTCTGTGGAGTAGAGATGATGCAGTGAACACTAATGTAAAATAATTACAATAGTTAAAGAAATAAATATTAATAAATTTTCCATAGTTGAACGGTGAGCAACTGGCTCAAACATAGGAATTATTTCTAGAGTTCTGTAGCTGGTACAAGAGGTTCTTCAGCAAACTTCAACTCAGCTTTTTAGAGTAAGTTTAGAGGAGGGTAATAGGAAAAGATACTCATAATTCTGTCTGATCAGCTGCTCATACTTGTCCTGTCTGTACCACTTTTAATATTGTGTTGTGTCAGTGCTAGCAGTAGGCTGTGGATATCCATCTTCATAGCTGAAATGTTAGTGGAAAGAAATGAAACTCCTGACTGATTAATGTTGATAGGATTCCTACGTGGGTTTGTTGACTTTCCTAGGAATCAGATGTCTGTGGTCCAACCAGCATGAAGATATGCCAAAAAATGTGTATAAAGAAGTACTTTGATTTCTAGTTAATTGGGATTTTCTATTGGTTTGCTAACATAAGTGATCATTCAGTATTTGAGGTTGATGTTGATACCTCTTTCACTATATGTGCACTTGAATTTATTATGTCTATCTTGTGACCCTATAATGCATCGAACCCTGAGAGTTCTCTCAGAGGTTCTCTATAGGCTGCCTGCCTGATGTAGATCCACTTTGTGTAAGAGGTACCAGTTATGGCAACGGTTAATGGCCTTTAATGGCTCACATGGATTATGCCCCAGTTGATCCACTTTGTGCTAATGATTCTTTCCTAAGGAGTCTGAAATCTCCCTTTTTTAGGAAGCAGTTGCTCTGTTGTCTAGGCAAGTACAGTATCAGCATCCTTTTTATAAACTCAATGAGAGTACAGATGCTGCCAGTTTTTCTGTTGCTATGGGTATTCTTGCAAGATCTTAATCCTTTTTTTGTTTGTTTTAACCATCTCAGTGTGATTTTTAAGTCACTAAAAAAAACCCAAACCTCCATTCATATTCATTTCTTCTGTAATCTAAACAAATGCTTTAGTAATTTTACTCCATCCAGACATTTTCGCTATGTGAACTTCTTTTACGTCTCTGCTTTTGTTCTGTCTCACCTCTTTATAATTTTACCTCATATTATGTGAACTACACTTTTTATTTTGTTTGCCTTCTGTTTGTCATGGTCTTCAGAGCTTCAGACTTTAGATGTACAGAATTTTTATATATATGTGTGTGTATTTATGTCTGTATGTAGCATGTTGTTTAGAAGACATGGGGACCATCACTCATCCTTAGCATATCTGCCTCTTGGAAAGGTAGCAAGAGATCACTTTGCTCAGCTGTGGTCATCAGGGCTGCACTGCTGCCTGCACTCCTGTTCCCTCCTCATACTCTGTGATATTACAAAAAAAAAAGAGTGAAGCCAAGTGGTTTTTATTCCTTTTCCCCAGCAGTTTGATAGAGCCCTTGTGGCATCCTCTTGCTTTCCTAACAGCTAGGACTGTTATTTCTTCTCCACCCTTTAGAGACACCGCTGGGAGAAAACAACTCTCAAATATGTAACTAGAGAACTCTAACTGGTTATCTTCCCTTTAAATGACTGGGAGATGGCAATTTACAGGCTTTGATAGATTTTAAGAGCTGATCCTGCTGGCACAGTAAGGAGGCTCTGTTCCCAGCAGGTCACTTTCCTTTATGGGACTGATACAGGAGTCCTAAAGCCACCCTAGAATTGTTTTCTTAATTGGAAAATTAGTGCATATTGGAGCCAGGTGTCCTCCTCTGTTTCACCCATCCCAAAAACCCATTGCCATCAGCATAGACTTGGGAGGTGCTTTGGGGGATGAAGTCTCTGTCAGCCAGCAGCTGCCTTCTCCAGTGGGCAATGTGTGCATGCTCCTAACTGTGTAAACAGGAGCAAACTCAGATACAGAAGAGAGAATTCTCACACCTTTGAGCACATCAGATAGGTGGCTGAGACCCTGCTGTGTGTAAGAGAAGTTGCCTAAATTGCTTGAGGTTTTTTAGGCAAGGCGTTCCTCTGTGCTTTTAAGTAAAGGAATGCAGGAGCCTGTGATCATCTGCAGTGGGCAGCAGCACTGAATCCTGGCAAGCTCAGGCTGACAGAAGACAAACACTTACTACCCACTCCGGGGCGCTGAAGGAGTTTGTTCTCAGCTAGGGGCAGGCTGTGCTGCAGTCAGGGTTCGGGCTTCGGGCTGTGCTGCAGTCAGGGTTAAGTGGGAGTCCAGACACCACTCAATTTCTAAATCAGTATTTCATGCAAAGGAAAGAGGTCTCCTTATCCCCAGCCTCCAGATACAAGCTGCAAATTATCAAGTGGCAACTCCAAAGAAAATCCTTTATGTGTGTCCCAATTAAGCCACACATGAAGTATACATGAAGTTTTTTATGAAGAATACAAAGTGTTGAAATTCACAGTGAAGCAAGTTTTGTACTGTAGCTGATCTGCTGTGCTTTCTAAAAGCAGCACCAAGTGAGTCTGATAGAGTGAAGTGCACTATGATCTTCTCTCTGACAGAACAGTAGTTCTTACCTCTGACTGCCAGAAGATCTAATGCCGTTAACTTTGAAGGTAGTAAGAGTTAAACTTGGGGACGTGCAGCCTTCTGGGCTGAAAGTCCACAGTTTGTTTATCTCTAAACAATTACATTCCCTTATTGTTATTGTTTTTAAATATAATATCTTTTAAAAATAGCAAAGAGAATATTATTTTTCTTTAGATATTTATTTTTCCTGCCATGTACTGTTGTTAACCCCAACACTTATGTATGTAAAAACTGTGGGTTCCAATCCACAAGAAAGTTTATCTGACCCAGGATTTAGGAGACAGAGGTTCACCCTGCCAGCTTTAAACCCAGCATCAAGCTAAGGAGGCGATGGGCCCTACAGAGCGGGAGGTCTGTTTACACTTTTAATGTTACAGAGAAGTTTTGTTTTAACCAGACTGAGAAGGCTTGAAGGGGATGATCAGATCATCTGTGATCACTGTCTGTGTGATGTGACAGAACTAGTGGATTCACTGCCAAGTTCTTACTCAACAAGAAGTATTTGGTATTTTGGTTTAGAACCTGTATCCTGCCTTAGGCACTAAGGAAAGGTCAACCTTCAGCATGCAGGATCGGGCAGTTTCTGTCCTTGCCTTCACATCTACACACCTGGTTGCTGCTTCTGCAGGACTTGGGTTCTCACACCCCCGCTTAGACCATCAGCTTTCAAGTTTCAATAAATACAGGGGGAGAAGAGCACAGCAGTGGAATTGCTGTGAAAATAAAGGAAGGAAAATGAGGCAGAACTTTGGTGAATCTGCTGCATCGACATGGCAAATAGTGTGTAAGATTCAGTGAAGCAGACTGCACTTCAACTTCTATACCCTACATGTGCAGCCATAACTTTCACCAAAATACCTATTTTATATTTTTTTATTAAGAATGTTAAACTGAGGATTTTGATGGGAAAATCCTGGTGGCATCTGAATAAGAGGGAGAGAAAAGATGGCCTCAGAAATTTTACAAATAATTGTCTTACTGAGGAAATGTTTTGCCTGCATTAATATTAAAGTCATAAGCTTATATATAATGAATAAACCCTTCTTAGTCCTGCCAACTCATTTTCTAAAGATAAAAAAGTACAATAATTCATTCAAATTACTTTGCTGATTTTTATTAAGAATGGAGTAAAAACTCGCCAGGTCTCTGTATCACTGACAAGAAACTTAAGAGTTTTGTCTTGATTTTTGCATGTTTTAACTACTGGCCATGAACCCTACAACTAACTGCAAACAACCTAAAGTTGGATGGAAAGTAGATTTTCCTGTTGCAGAAGAAACAACATTTCAACAGAGAAACTTTGGTTTAAAATAAAATTTTTAAAAGTAATTTCTTCCAGAATGAAAAAATTGAAGTTTGGAAAAATTTTCCACATAAATTACATTGCTTAAGTCAAATATTTTATCACTAAAGAATATAAAATTCTGTTATGTTTTACTGGAATTAGCATGTTTCTGCAAAAATTCTGGTGTTTTTTGATGTGTGGAGCACATCCAAAGTGTTCAAACATTTTTCTGCCCAGCTTTAAAAAAACCCAACAAATCAGAACTTCCTCATTTCCACGCCTCAGCTTTAAAGAGGAAAGCATTGCAATTTTAAGTCCTGTTGTAGGTGTGACGGTTCTGCATTATTTTTTAGCTTACATATATGTAAAAAGTAAATGCTGTCAATAAAAAAAAAAATTAACAGCACAGAGAAATGATACATTTATATCCTTTTATGTTTATATATATAATAAGAAATTCTGTTGTTTGATATTCCACACTAAAATGTATCTGTTTGAGATACCAGGTTTGTATGATTGCTGATTCACTTGGAACAGACAGTAGCGTTCAGAATGATAACGATCCCAAGTTCAGAGGGCAAGGCTGGTGTTTTTCATGGTGGGTTTTGGGGGTTTTTGTTTGTTTGTTTGTTTGGGGTTTTTTGTTTTGGGTTTTTTTTCTTACCTGGAAGGTGCTGACTTACCCCGTGTGCGTTTCCCAATGCCACTGCATTAAGGTGGTGGGCTGTGCTGGTCAGTGACGTGCAGACTTGCTTGCATCCACGCTGTTTACCAGTGTTGAAGTAATTACCTCCTCCCCGAGTTCTCACCTGAGTAAGCGATGAGCTGTACAGCGTGTTCAGCCATAACACACTAATTTAATGGCCTCATTTTTATATGCATTTTCCATGCATGTTTGCACTGACAGATCGGACTCGTTGCTATGATAAGAAGCTTTGGGAAAGCGAGAACCTTCTACCATGGTTGCCTGCGTTGCCTCCTTGTTGATCTGGCAGGGGGGGGAGGAGCTGTTGACTTTAGACATCAAAGGCTTGGGAGTCTTCAGCTGTTGGCTCTAGATGGGCCCAGTTCTGCAGAACACAAAAAAATGTGTGTTAAGTAGAAACAAAAGTAATTTAAAAGCATTTCTTGCAGACAGATGAGCCTGTTCGATGGAACAAAATGTTGTGGTAAGGCATGACAAGCTTCTGTCCCCTTTAACACATTGTTCTCTGTCTCTCTCAGGTGATAACACTTCCTTAGGCGAAGCAGATGACCTTTTGAAGCACGCTCCATCCAACGCTGGCAGAAGGCCCAGTTCTGTTGACACAGTTGCAACAGAGCCCTGGCTGCGACCAGGAACTTCAGAGACACTCCAAAGGCTCATGGCTGAACCCTCAAGCCCAGCAAAGCTCTCCCCTGAAACCAGGCTCCCGCTTAGCTGGCAAGGCCTCTCAACTGCCCACGGCTGAGCCGAGCCCCCGCGGGCGCCAGCTGTGCCTTGCAGCAGAGCAGGGACCGACTCTTCGGCACGAGTGCACTTTCCGGGTCTCCTGTAGGGACAGTTCTCTTCCCTGTACTTGGTGTGGAGCTGTGTGTGTCATTCGAAATAGCAATAATAAAGTAACAGAAGCCGCAGTGTGGTGGAGAGGGAGAGCAGGGATGGGTTATCTGACATGATGGGGAAGTGGAGGAAGAGCTTGGCTGTTTTTGCACTTTTTATACAAGTTAAGATTCAGCCTCAGAGCTGGACTTACAAAAACAGAGAGTGTGTGTGTGTGTGACGTTGATATTAAATAAAAGTTAATTTTTAGCTTTGTTTGTAGCCAAACTCCAAAACTGTCTGAGAAACAGAGATGCATTTTAAGCTTTTACCAAATGAGTAAATAACTTGGAGCAGGGCACTTGCTTCATAGTGATGAGTGCTACCTGCGTGAAAGCTCAGCAACCAGTTTCATGGAAAAATGACTATTAGCAATGTATCTTATGTTCCCTAACCTGTTACATGCTGGAAATAGAGACAGTCTTGCTTATATTTAATTTATGGTTCTGATTTAAGAGTTAATAAATTATTTTGTTACTAAAAATATGAAAGCAGACTTCAATTTCTTAATTTAGCATTTGCTTCAGCTTACATTTACTCTTGGACAAACTAGTACATTAATGCTGTCTTCAAGGAAGCAGGAAATACACATAGAAAAGTTGCTGAATAAAAAGCACTGAGCTTTAGCTGGAAGGACATGTAGATGGAAGCACAACATTAGGAGCTCAGTGAACTGAAACACGAGGTGGAGCAAGGGTAAGGTTGTGATTTTCCCCTTGGTTAGGAATTCCCCTGCGTTGTGTTGTTCCCAGCTTCTTCAGGGGTTTAGCCTGTTCCTTCCTGTGCCAAATCAGGCTCCTCCTTACCCCGAGTTTCTGGCTCACCAGCCAAAAGGCTGATCACACCCATCACTTTGGTACAACAGCAGGGGCCAGTGAAATGCAAGGTC